GAGTTATGAGTGTGTAAAGGACCAAGTCTCAAGGAAACAGGCAATAAGAACAACACAAAATGTTGTAGTGAAGGCTGTGTGCTCCCCCCTCGCACAGCTCTGGCTTACAAGTGCACATTAAGTTTCATTGATCTGTCATCCTCCCTCACCAGCAAGGCTAACCTTCCATACTTCTTTTATAAAATGGTGGGGATATCATAGCAATGTTTCTGTTCAGTTCTAGCCCAGGCTGAGGTAGATGGCGGGGCAACCATGGGGAGCAGAGAAGAAAACAGCGTGTCCATGGACAAACATTACGCTTTCATACCTTTCTGTATATAGGTCCATGACCCTGACTTTTGACTTTGAAAAACAGGCAGAGCGTCGTAATATTCCTTTCTTTGACTGTAAACTCCCAGAATCCCAGAGGCAAAATGGTCAAAAGAAGTAAGATTTCCAAGCGCTGAAAGTAACAGTTGAGCCAGGAGGGCAAAGCTTACAATGGATTAAGGTCTAGCAGAGATGAGTCAAGAGCAAAGCAAAGAGGGACCATGATGGGGCTGTTAAAATGTAAATTCTCCAAGTACAGGGCATTAAGTAGTGAACTAGGAGTGTAGTCAGAGAGAATTTGGTGTGTTACTGGTGGCAGGTGGAAGAATGGGCAGAGAGAAAGCTTCATGCTCTTCCTGTGACCTTTTAATGTGGCCTTTATTGCATCTGGACATGTTGTGCGTACATTATCCAGAGGAAATAAGCTTTTCTCATCTTGTATCTTGACTCATGCAATCTAGCCATGTATTTATTACACTTGTGACATCCACTCTGTAATTCATTTATGTATACATCTATTTATACTCATTTGTGCATAAAAGTATACATGCATACCTTGGTGTACAGCAGCCCTCCAGGCATGTGAGGGGCCCCCAGGTTGGACGAAAGATAGCTGTTGAAAGAAAACAGCAGAGTCGCACAGCAAATATATGGAATGTCAGAGCAAATGTAAACAATTACCTGTTGCCAAGGAGTGTGCAATCTAAGCGGAAGAGAGAACAGACTAGGTAAGGGAGGAGCTGGTGCTGGTGAATTGTGGTCTTAGATATTTAAAGCTTGGTTACAGCTGGAAACCGGGTTACAGAAGATGTAGCAAATGTCCTGAAATGAACTGCTGGATAGCACAGTGATTTAGGTATCCGGTTTCGGAACCAGAGATTGGAATTCGATTGTCCACTGTGCCTCCCTGACGGGCTAGAATTCCCTTCCAACTCTTCAGTTCTAAGATGATGATGATGAACATGGAATTTGAAGAGAAGGTGCCGCTCAGGTGCTTGGTTGAAAGAGACAGCTTCACACCTAGGGAGCACCAGAGGAGAATACTCAGAAAGACTGTAGGACAGAAGATTGCCAGTTAAGAGTAACAGCCAAATTTGTCACTAACAATCTGATTCATGGAAATTGGTCTCAGAAACGTACGAATATCAGAACCACCTATTTTATGCTGGTTTAATGAACCAGTGGAGATGTAGAATAAGGGTTAAAAAGAGCTTTCAGATTGGCTTTCAGACACATTTTAAGTTTTTAAAACTCAAGTTCTTTCTGTCCTCATATGCAAGTTTTGAAATTACCAAATCTGGATTTGGCAAGGGAAAATGGAGAATTTGTTTTGCAGGCTCCTGGTAGATGCTTAAAATACTCACTGAAATTAAGCTGACATGAAATTCTTCACTTTCACATGCTAAATCCAGTACATGCCTCTGCTCCCAGCAGAAAAAAATCCCTGTTGCACCTATTAAAACCAAATTCAAGGTTAATTGACATAGAAATTCAAGTCTAAATAGTTAGGAATTAAGTACTCAAAACCCTGGTATGGATCTGTCAGTTTCTGTTTCTCCATTTTTAAAAATCAGAATAAATATGATGACTTTTGTGGGTTTACTAAAATTTGTATACAAATGCACTGGACAGGGAGAGGAAGTCTCCCCAGGGTTTATGGCTCTTCCAGACAGATCTTGTGTGCCACCTTGTTCTATTGCTGTTTTTTTGTCACATTAAAGTACTGCATGCTGCTTGTGTACTACTCCATAGTGCTTAAAGCACTCTCGGGACAGTCTGTAGCCTTTGGCTACAGACATGCATGTCACCTTGGCTTAAAAACAGTTTAAACATTGGGGGAGTGCATTCACGTATTTAAAACATGCACACAGGTGACTCCTCTCTGCAGATCTTAATGGGGCTTCACTTCTTGTTGTGGTTCCTCTACCATTCCTTGTACACTGCCAGTCTATCACAACTCTTACTAATACTGTATCTTTTAAGGCACGGATGGAGAACATGTGGAACTCCAGCTGTTGCTGAACTGCAATTCCTGTCTTCCCAACATGTGAACTATGCTGGTTGATGGGAATTGTGATCCAGCAGCAGCTGAGAGGATACATTCTCCACTTTGGCCTTAAGATATATTGCAGCTATGGGAGAAATACCCAGAAATACACACCCGGCCACTGGTTGAGCGGCAGCATGGAATGTTTGTATGACATGAGTTTCTGCCACCTTGTTCCCTCATCCCAGCCCATTCTGTTCTTCTTCATGGCAGCCAAGGGAAAATGGCAACCCTGAGATCTACCACTCATACCACCCACACCTCCTAAGCTTTGTTGCTGTGGATGTCTGCTCTGAGGCCCTGGAAATCTCTTGACTAGGAACTGGGCCTTCTCAGTGATGGCCACCTCCCTGTGGAAGTGTGCCAGGCCCTTTCCCTCCCAGTATTCCAACAGCAAATAAAAGCATTGCTTTTAAAAGAAGCTTTTCAGGATCTCCTCCCCTTCTAATTGTTGTTATTTACATTATATTTTGATTCTTTTTGGGTTGTCATTGCCATCATGAGTATTTTTGTAGGGTTGTTTGTAGATCATTTTGGGTGGGGGAGTGGGTTCCTCTGTTTATGTTCCAAGTTGGCAAACTGCCCAGAGTAGTGGCGTGCCATTAGATGGCCAGTATAAAAATTTCATTAATAAATAAATGCAGCTATAACTGGGCATCACAACAATGACACCATGGAAGGTCTATGCAGTAGAGACTTGTCAGGAATGTGAATCAGTTCAGATTGGCTAAAAGGCCTGTCTACAATTCCAGACGTTTCCTTGCAACACATGTTTGCCGGGCGTAGCCCTGCGAGTGCTATCAGGTGGCTTGCAGCCTAAAAGCCCAGATTTATTGCTCACACTTGTGTCCTTCCCCTCGATCACGCTCAGCCTCTCAACATTTCTGTGAGGTATGTCAGACAGTGACAGTGACAGGGACAGGTATGTCAGACAGTGACGATGCATAAAGCCCAATATGGTGGAGATGAAGTCATGGAATGCTAGTGCTAGCATGGAGTCATGGAATGCTAGTGCTAGCATGCAAGGGAAATGGAATCAGAATTGACAGAAGGAATATAGGGGATGGGTAGAGAAGTAGAACAAAGGGAGCAGCTCCCGCCCAGCTTTTTCTTTGCTGATTTATTTTTTTGTAGGAGTTTTTTTCTCAGAACTACAAGCAAGTGCATCGCCTATGTACATCCACATGAAATCTGAAGCTTTAGCACATGTGAACTTCCAAAATCCCCTGGTTCTTCTCCCTGCATAGATTCAAGCCTGAGCAGAAGGGGGGGGGGAATCCGTGCAGCATGGAAATTTTCAAAACTTTAGTCCATAAGGTAACCTCTGAACTGGCTTCATTGCTACTTTTTTGGACTATAACTCATCATACCCAGCTCTCATGGCCACTTCTACTGCTAGCTATGTAATTTTGGACATTGTCACCCAAAAACATTTTTTCCTGAATGATATGGAGAAAAGTTCTATATGGGGCCAATCAGCATCTCCCAGTTTATGAACACAAGTGAAAAAGAAACATCAATGCAGATCTCCGCAATGAGGAGAACGAAGTTTTCTAAGTACTAAATGGGATGTGGGAATCCATGCTGACGTTTCTACTGAGCCATGAAACCTACTGGGTGATCTTGAGCCAGCCTTGCTCTCATAGCCTGTCCTACCTCCCCCAGTGGTTGTGAAGACAATGTGGGGAGGGAGAGAATGATTTATGCCACCTTGAGTTCACTGAAATAGGTAAAAGGTAAAGTTTCGCCTTGACAATTTTTTTTGTCCAGTCGTGTCCGACTCTAGGGGGCAGTGCTCATCCCTGCTTCCAAGCCATAGAGCCAGTGTTTGTCCAAAGACAATCTTCCGTGGTCACATGGCCAATGCGACTTAGACACGGAACGCTGTTACCTTCCCACCATGGTGGTCCCTATTGATCTACTTGCATTTGCATGCTTTAGAACCGCTAGGTTGGCAGGAGCTGGGACAAGCGACGGGCACTTGATCCGTTGCGTGGATTCGATCTTACGACTGCTGGTCTTCTGACCCTGCAGCACAGGCTTCTGCGGTTTAGCCCACACTGAAATAGCAATGTGGCAAATAAATGGGGAGGGGGTTGTGAATCAAAGGCTGCTGCTGTGTTGGCTTGTGTCTCGCTGAAGCCTTTCTCTCAAGCCTATCAGAAAAAAAAATTAGCACTATCTCTTGCATTTGCATCAGTGTAACAGCAGGTCACCCAAATCGCTGTCAGGAAAGAAAAAACAGATTCGGTTTTCTTTAAGCCAGGGGGGCCCATTTCGATCATTTGTGTAGCGAATCCATTGAGCTGACTATAAATTCACACACGTTTCTTTTCCATGCTTGAATGTAAACATCTGAGCCTCAAGAATGTAAATTGGAGGCTTAGAAATATGTGTTTGTTGCTACCTCTTTGTAATCTGTACCTTTTTTAACCTTGTTAAGCTGTCAGTCTCGGGACATTTTGCACTGTGAAGAGGGAAAAAAATGCTTGTTTGGCCTGAAGCAAGGAACATGAATGTTGTAATCTTCGCTCCTCCTCCTTCTCCAGGAGAGATTGCCTACGAGCATACAGGAGCTCCAGTTCCCACAGAGCCGGCTGGCTTGTGCGTCTTCGTTTCTCAGCTCTCAAAAGGCACAGATTTTTTCCTTCTGCCTTCAGTTGTGTTCTCCCCCCTGAATCTTGCTATCTCTCTGGATTTACTTGAAGCGATTTGAATGTGTCTTGACTTCCTCTGGGTTTTAATGTTCTCGCTCAGGACGCCTGACATGGATCTGGCCAGACTTCATTACTCCTTAAGCGTAAGTACTGTGGTTTAACCTGTTCTTACTCAGGGAGCAGAGGTTGACTTTATATAGGTGTCACACCGCCCTGTGTGGACTTTTCGTTTTGCTGGCAGCAAAACAAGAAAGCTGTTTGTACATTCATAAAGACTGAAGCATTACAGAAGAGCACAGCAGATGATTGTTACCAGTCCTCTGCTGTGGTGCTAAAAATATCGCAAAGCCATAACCTGTTGCTTATATGGTTCACCTAGTAATTTATAAGGCTGTATGGATTTCCCCAAGGCATATGGCTGTGGCTTTTTACTAATGGATCTGGCATTGCTTGATATCATTTGCCTCCCTGCCCTCATGATGAGTGTTGGCTGAACTCGCTAAAGCTACCTTCCAGATATCAGATTTCCTTGATGTCACTTCGTATCTCTTTTGAAGCTACATTAATCACCAAGGGCGACCTTCTCCTGTGTAGGACTGCCCAGTATTTGAGACCCTATATAATTCGTGTACATCTGAAGTTAGGTGCATAGCGTTGAGAGGGAATACCATTTTGGTTGCGTGTCCCCTCAGTCTACCAAATACTCCCCCCAAGAAGCACACCTGGCATCCGCTGTGGCATTTTAATATACTGGGCATTCTGCTCCCACATGGCATGTAAACTAGGCTTCCTCATGTTTTGGTTGCTCTTGGTAGATTTTTATGGGTTTATTTAAATGCTGCTTTTTATCATGTAATAGCCCGTTTTTAAAATATCGTGTCAGGTGACCATCCCAAATGCAGGCAGATATCAGGAGATATCTGTAGATCTAGAACAAAATCTTTTGAATCACTCCTCCATTCACATATACTGTACATAAAAGCAGAAAACAACGCAAGGGCATGATGCAAATTTGATTGTTGTCAAGGACCATGATTGATTTTGGGGGAATGTGATCTAATACAGTATACCTTTGGTATTCATCTACCTGGACTCTAAGATCTTTCTAAGAGGTTCTGTGGACCCTATTGAATGAAATAACATAAAGTGATCACTCTGGGATCTTTGTCAGTCATGGCATGCAATTTGTAGAATTGTCTTTCGGAAAGGTTCTTCTGTCATCAGGAGAGTATGTTTCTGTTCACCAGTCTGTTATTTTAATTCTGGGATTGTTGTGAACTTGGTTTCTTTTGTCTTCTGTTACTTTAGATAGGGATGGAAGTAATCTCTAGAGTTCCGGGGGGGGGGGATTGCACATGTCCACTCCTGCTTTAGAACAAGTTGGGCAAAGAGTGGCCTCCAGATGTTGTTGGCTCACAACTTCTGTAGTCCTTTACCATTGGTTCTGTGGCAGGAGCTGCTGGGATTTGAAGTCCAAAAACATCAGGAGGGCTAGAGTTGCCCAACCTTGTTTCAGAATCCATATTTTAATGTTCTACATTGCATCCACAGCGTTATTCTGTTCCCTTCCTTTAAGGCGCTGAGATAACTTTATATTGAGGGTGGCACTGGCGTATAAATGCCATAAGCAAAGAAACAAATAATTTTCTCTAGATAGGTTTTAACAAGACCAAAGATGCCAGAAATGGACAGTTGACTGTGCTAGGAGTCAGATTCCAGGACTTGCATGAAACCTTTTCTGAGAAAGTTGGCTTCCTTGAAAATTCTTAAGCTGTTTCACAGAAGGAAGAACCCTCAAATGTGCTTCAAATGTCTCTTTAAGTTACACATTCTTTGCAATTCAGAAAAAAACTCTCAGAGCATGAAGTTCTTTTCATTTTTCATATTGCTTCACATGTTTTTGCCCACACAGGGACATACTGGTGTAAAGAAGAAGAAAAAGGTGATGTTTCATTCTTATCTGTGTAAAGATGTGCAGCATACATATCTCTTTCCACTCATGGGTTCATGCAGTGGGAGACCCCACTTGGCCCTGCATCATTTACAAGGATAGTCCCACATTTAATTGGTACTCCCCATCAATTTTCTTTCATAAGACATTTTGAGCATGTAATGATAAAGTTTCCCTTGACATTTAGTCCAGTTGTGTCCGACTCTAGGGCACGGTGCTCATCCCCATTTCCAAACCATAGAGCCAGCGTTTGTCCAAAGACAGTTTATGTGGTCATGAGGCCAGCGCGACTAGACACAGAACGCCGTTCCTTCCCACTGAGGTGGTACCTATTTATCTACTCACATTTTTACATGTTTTCGAACTGCTAGGTTGGCAGGAGCTGGGGCAAGCGACGGGAGCTCACTCCGTCGTGTGGATTTGATCTTATGACTGCTGGTCTTCTGACCTTGCAGCACAGAGGCTTCTGTGGTTTAACCCTCAGCGCCACCATATCCCATGTAATGATAGTTTGGAGAAATAGGATACATATGTAAGGCTGTTATTTGTGGATTATAGTTCTGCTTTTAACACCATTTTACCTAAAAGGTTGTTTATTAAAATGTTTAATTTGGGAATACATCAGAAGATCTGTCTGTGCGTAAAGGACATTCTGACTGGCAGGCCACAGCCAGTAAGGATGGGATATTATCATTCTTCTATATTGATATTAAATACAGGAGCTCCCCAGGGCTGTGTGTTAAGCCCATTTCTCTATTCTCTGTACACACATGACTGCACCCCATTGTATAACACCAATGCAATTATTAAATCTGTGAATGATACGACAACAGTGGGGCTTATAAATAAGAACAATGGGTCTGCTTATAGAAAAGAAGTACAAGGGTTGGCACTTAGGTGTAAAAACAATCTTATTCTGAATACCAAAAAACTAAAGAACGTATAATTGACTTTAGGAGGAGGAGAGCTATATATATATATCACTGTACATAAATGGTGAAGAGGTGGAGAGGGTTAGTAGTTTTAAATTTGGGGGTGTCTACATTTCAGAGGGACCTCTCGTGGTCTCTAAATGCTAATATGCTGGTGAAGAAGGCACAGAAGACTCAGGAAGATAAATCTATCTCAGCATTTACTTCTGTCCTACTATCGATCGTAGTACCATAGAGAGTATCCTAACATATGGCATCCTCTCATGGTATAGGAGTTGCTCTGAAATGGATTAAAAAGTTTTACAGATAATTATTAAAATGGCCCAAAGTATTATTGGACTTCAGCTTCCAACCTTATACAACATCTTTGCATCTCACTGCTTGAGGAAATCATTTAATATTCTGAGAAATACTCTTCCCACATTGCTTATAACTTCTTTAAACTGTTGCCTTCCAACAGAAGATACAGAGCAATTAAAACTCGGACAACACACTTTTTGAACAGTTTTTATCCTAGAGCTATAATAACACTTAATAAGGAACGTAAGATTCATCAGCAGTGAGTTGTTGGACTGTATTACTATTACCTGGTCTGTTGGGTTGTATGTTGTGTGGATACTATGAGCTCTTGTGTGGGGTTTGGGGACTAAGGGATTGTTACAAGGGTGTGTGTGTGTGTGCTGGCCTGGTCTCTGAGTGTTCTTTGTGAATTTCGTTGCATGTGTATACAGTGTATATATGTTCAATGACAATAAATTGAAATTGTAATTGTAGTTAAAGGCAACCCACATAGTTTAAATAAGAGTTGTGTTCTGTTAAATGTTGTGTGAAAGCACTCTTTACTGACTTTATGCTTTTAAAAAAGCATAACATGCTGCTTAATTAGCTGCAGAACTCTTTTCCTAATGTTTTTATGGTGAATGCTTTTCCTTTTGATGTTTCTCTTGCATGTTCATGTAATTTGACAGTCTTTCTATGGCTAGAGATTTGATTGATTGATTAGCCTGCTTTCAACTCTTCTGAGAACTGTTGTGTCTGGAACGCTGGATAGAAATCTTGTAAATAATTAAGTTAGGATAAAATGAAATCTAAGATGGGGTTGTTTGGTTTCTAATAGCTTGCAGTATGGAGCAGAATGTTGCTGTGAATAATAAAAACAAATAAAAAACCCCAAAACTTGATGTTAATTATACTGTGGGTGTGGTTTTGTGTATGACACAGTTACTATTCTCCATTCATGCCTGTCCACCATTCTTGAGGCAGAAAAGCAATACCTTAGTACTGTACAGTGATGGTGAACCTTTTTGAGCCCGAGTGCCCAAACTGCAACACAAAATCCACTTATTTATTTCATAGTACCAATACTGCAATTAAAACCCGAATGCTGAAGTTTAAGTTTAGAAAAAGCAACTGCTCCTGCACTGCACGGTTAAAGGCTTGTTTTTTTTCCACGTTAAGGGCAGTATTAACAAATAGATAATTACGTATTCTCCAATCCCCCATTGGGCTAGAGCAGTAATGGTTGCCATTGCATCCCTCCGCTGGACCACTGCACCAGCAGAGGGGACTGCCGAAATACGGGATCGGAGGATGGGTAAGCATTTCTCTGTGGTGACTTACAGCTCATGTGCCCACAGAGAGGTCTCTGTGTGCCAGGTGTGGCACGCGTGCCATTGGTTCGCCATCACTGCCTTAGTAGTTCCCAGCCTTGGGTCCCCAGATGTTCTTGGACTAAAATTCCCAAAAGCCTTCATCACTAGCTGTTCTCGCCAGGATTTCTGGGAGTTGTAGTCCAGAAACAACTGGTGGCCCAAGGTTAGAAACACTGCAATACTTGCTCATTAACATCTAAATGAAGCCACTGGAGGAGGTCATCCAGAGATATGAAGTGTGTTGTCATCAATATACTGATGACACCCAGTTCTGTCTCTCCTTTTCCTCTTCAGCAGGTGAAGCTGTGCAGACCCTTGAGTGCTGCCTGCCCTTGGTTAGGGACTGGACAATGGCAAACAAGCTGAGGTTGAATCCTGACAAGACAGATCTTGTTGTTAGGTGGAGACCCTGATTGCCTAGGGGAGGGGGTTCAGCGTGCTCGAAACAAGATTATACTTCCCCGGAAAGAGCAAGTTAATAATCTGGGTGTCCTTTGGTACCTGGCCCTATTGATGGAAAAACAGATCTCAGCCATGACCAGGTCTTCCTTTTTCCATTTTAGGCAGATTGCACACCAGTTCTAGATAAGCAGTCTCTGGTAATACTA